TTCCCTATTTGCTTATTCTGGAAAATAAAAATAGGTGTCGACTCATATGGTCTCATACCAATATGTTATCATCAGAATACAAGTCTATTCACTATTGTTTCAATTGAGTAAACAGTGGTGTAAGGGTCAGCCGTGCTCACAGGTAATTGTTAGTGCGCAGACAGTCCTGTCAAGCATGTTAGATAAAAATACATCCCACACTGTCACTTCGCAAGGTGTTTGAAAATAATAGCCCCGATACAGCAAAACAGGACATAGGCTTGTGCTTGAACATGGTCACCTGGGTATGGAGGTACAAGGACACAAAGAGGTTGAGCAACTCTGTTTGTCTTTGAGCCGGTGATACCTGGGGTTGGGAAATTGAGTTCCATGAGCAGTAATCTGTCAACTGTCCCCACAACATACATTTTTTAAACCTGTGCCTACATTTTCTTTCATAATGAAGGGGACTAGTTGTCCTGAAAAATGCAATGAAGAGCCAGGGCTATAGTTTAAAATAATTGGTAATGTACACTTCTTATTAAAAAAAAAAATAAATTACATATATCATGCCCTTTTGTTTTCAGAACAGTTTGCAAGACTGAGACAAATACTGGAAATGTGCGTATTAAAAAAAAAAATCATCCCTCTAGTAAATGTCGCTATGAATTGAGTTAAAAGCATTTTGCTTTTATTCTTAAGTATCTGTAATAGTAATAAATGTTTCTAAGGAGAGAATGCTACTTCATAAGTGATTTTTTGTTATGTTTTTAGAACTAATACGTTGTTTAAAGCTGTATTTTAGTTTCATTTTAGTTTTTAGTGCTTGCCTATTGTCTTACACAAAATAGCACATCCTTTAATGTTATATTTGTGTAATCTTTTCTGCTTTGTATTTAGACACATCTATAATCTAGATTTTACATCTGTACATAGTAGCAATTTAAAAATAAACCACATTTCAGCAGTGTTCTGAGCTGTGAGAGCTAGATCTTTAGTATCTGCAAAATGAAACTGCAAATCACACTTCAGATCACCAGCAAGTGAAAATAATAGGACTGAGACATCTGGGTGCCTGATTGCTCCCACAGATTTGGCAGTTTCAGGTCTAAATCCCGTTACTGGTACATACGAAGTTGCAGCACCAGCAGTAGCGATCTCGGGTAATTGCAGCGCAGTTCTGGGAATCTTAAAATCTGGCTCTCGCTGTTAAAATGAAACTGTTAAATGGTAAATTACATAATTTATTGCAAGTGTTCGTGGATCTATTTGACTTGCTTTTACCATTTGTTCTATTATTTTATTTAACCATTTTGCCAGATGAGTAATGAGCATACCTTTCAGCTGCCCAGTTTGACAGGCTAGTTAGGAATTCTCTCCAGAATTATTCTAAAAGAACTAGATTTGGGGAAGGAGGAGGAAGGGTTTTTTTAATTTTATTTTATTAATCAAGTGATGTCAGCGATGCGGTCATTTTTAAGTGACGGGTTGTGTGTGGACGTGTATGACATCACAGTTAACTCTTTAATTTAATGTCACCCAGCCTGAAATCGTCCTTATTATCTCCAGCGTTTTTTTTTCCCCGCACACAAGTGGGTGTTTTTTGTTTTCCTTTCAATATGCGCTATAGCTGTCGTTAGCTATAGTGTGAGTTACACTTGTATAGGAAGTTAGACCAAACCCCTTGACTTTTAGAGGATCTACAGCGAGGTATAAATATTAGGTATCTATATATTTGCTTATTCTGGAAAATAAAAATAGGTGTCGACTCATATGGTCTCATACCAATATGTTATCATCAACAGACAAGTCTATTCACTATTGTTTCAATTGAGTAAACAGTGGTGTAAGGGTCAGCCGTGCTCACAGGTAATTGTTAGTGCGCAGACAGTCCTGTCAAGCATGTTAGATAAAAATACATCCCACACTGTCACTTCGCAAGGTGTTTGAAAATAATAGCCCCGATACAGCAAAACAGGACATAGGCTTGTGTACTGACCTTTTTCTTTGTTTAATTTGCTCAGAGGTTTAATTTCAGGGGACAAGTAATAATTGAATATGTCTAATAACTAAATGCTCATTTGGGACAAAATCCATCAAAATATAATTGGCATTTGGGTCTGATGAAAGGAAAATGACGTGGCTTTAGAGAAACGGATGTGTCCTAAGAATATCTGATCACTTAATGTATAAATTGAAGCCTCTTTCATAATATATATTAATTGCAGATACTTAAGGATTTTAGCATTTTTTTGTAGTGAACCGTTACTGGAGACGAACTGTTTTTGTTAATGCTACTCTTGGAAAGGCGGGGAAGGTTATTGGTCTGTCGTGCAATAATTTACTCCTCTTTGATATGCAAACGATCCACGGTGAATATAAAAAAATCCTATCAGACTCATTTCACAGTTCTTAACCACTTAGATTCTCTGGAGTCTATCGCCTCATTAGACCAGTGCTCTCCAAAGCTAGCATAATTAAAATCTTTAACAGTTTAGCAAAGTAAAGATGTTTGGCTGATCACGTTGAGATGATTATCTATCCATTGTATTCTAAATGACAAAAATAAATTAAATTTAGACCTTGGCATTTTTTATTATGTGTTTCAAATGAATATAATGCATACTGCCTTTTTTTTTTTTTTTTATTTCAATACCTTAGGTTTGGTGAGATACATGCCTGTGTGAGCAGCTGCTATACACTGAGAAAATGGCAGGTTTCCTTAGGATAGCTCCAGTGCTACAATACGCTGAAACAATAAACAGTCATCCCAATGATGATCTGGAAGCACAGTGATGAGAAACCTCTTTAAAAACACACGGACACTGGCTTTTATTTTTTTTTTCCCCTGAATATTTAAGTGATGCGTCTCTACTGCTAATTTTTTCCCATGGCCTTCTCTGAAAGAGCACTGAAATAGTCTTCAGTGAGAGAAACTTGACTTGTTTGATCATGTCACAAACATAAGCTTTATCCAAAAGCATGATCTCAGCATGAGCCCGTGTCACGCTGACGCGCGCAGCTCCCCTTCCAGCCTTCGGTTTGGCCCACTGGAGTTTGCAAAGTTTTCACTTCCCTTATTTATCAAATGCGATGTCCTAAGCCTGATGTCCATTTTGGCACAATTAAAATATATGTTTTTTAAATTATTTCTTGAAGCTTATTTTATGTTTTCATTTTACTTTTGAATGGCTCATTAGCATTGATCTAAGAAATGACAGTAATAATAGTGTTACTTGTATAGAAAGTTATACAGTTTTTCAGTAGACACATCCATCAATTAAGTGAGCAGTTTGAGAAACCAAAATTAATGAGAAAGATAGGTGTGTTAATGAAATAATCATAGTATAATCAATTTGACTGTTAAAATTTGAAAAGCATTTCAGGAAGACAATACGAATTCATAATTTATGTCTAAAAGTGATTAATAAAAACTGTATTTAATAACAAAGCTATTTGTCATCATTTAAAACTTAGTCATATTGTGGTTCATGTTGTCACAATAATAAAGCTGAGTTTTTTTTTTTTTCCTAAGACCTTCCTTTCTTTTTAAAACAGGTTAGGAAGTATTCATTTTCCTTAAAAAAAAAAAAAAAAAAACAAAAACAACAGTATATTATTTAAAACTTAGTCATATTGTGGTTCATGTTGTCACAATAATAAAGCTGAGTTTTTTTTTTTTTCCTAAGACCTTCCTTTTTTTTTAAAACAGGTTAGGAAGTATTCATTTTCCTTAAAAAAAAAAAAAAAACAAAAACAACAGTATATTAAAAAAAAAAATTAAATTTCTCCAGCTGACTGCAGGGTAGCCCTTGGCCACCTTTGCTGTCAGCCTTGCTGTGAGCTCGGGGCAATTTCTGCCTGAGCAGGGACTCTGGAAATGGGCCCTCTGTAATTTTAGTTACAAAAAATAATAATAATTAACATGGAGTTTGGGGTGGGTGTCTTGTTGTGTGTACCCCCCTGCCCCACACATGGATTTTGCCTTCCATAGCTATTGCAGGTGTCACATCAGAAAATTTAGCAGAGACGTACAGTGTTCAGTATTAGCCTTTAGTTATTAAAAAAAAAAAAATACATGCGCAAAAACACACACACACAACTAACACTAGGCTTTGTTTACTGACTCTTTGATTTAATTACTGTTTGAAGACGGCCGAATTAGCTGTTAATTGATTTAATTATCCAATTTGTTTGTTTCAGGCATGATTCCAACAGAACTGCAGCAGCTCTGGAAGGAAGTGACAAGCTCACACACAGCGGAGGAGGCAGCCAGCAACAACCACAGCAGCCTGGACCTGTCCACCACCTGCGTCTCCTCCTCCGCGCCGTCTAAGACCTCCTTAATCATCAACCCGCACGCCTCAACTAATGGACAGCTATCGGTCCACACTCCTAAACGGGAGAGGTAGGTGCTGGTGGGGTTTCCACCCATGAGCATCTCCGAACAGCATGCCGAAATGATGGTGAAATTGTTGGGAGCGGTGGCCAACCGCCTTGGCCTCGGTTTTGTCCTCCACGTCTTGCTCTGTCTGATTTTGGCGTGGTTGAATAGAGTCTCCACTGGGCAGAATATGCTCCTTTTGTTCAGATCTTTATGGCTTGTTAATTGGATCACTGTGGGCACAATTAGCTAATTAGAAGTGCATTGGATAAACGTATTGGGGGAAGTGTGAAGAGCATAAGCTGGGTTTTTTCGAGTTTTGCATCCCGGCCGGTGTTACTCTTGATGTGCTTTGGGTTTGCAGGCTGGATGTGAGGACAAAAACCTGTTGGTCAGTACAGGCTGTTTTACCACCCGTTTTTCTGCCAAATTTCAGTGCCCCATCTCATCTAACATGTTTGCCTGGTTTTTACTCTGTATTTACCTGCTTTCCCAAGGCAGGCTAGGCTTGAGTTCACCAGGTTTCTCTAAAACAAAGTGGATTTTTTTAAGTGCTGATAAAATTAGCTAACTGGTGTTGTTTGGCTTTTAAAAGTGTGAGTTAATTTATACTTGCTAGGCTTGCATTGTTAAAAGAAATGGCTTAAATCAGGGGTTGTCTGTTGACGTGCTTCTCGGCGCGGGCTCTGCTTTATTCCAAAGGATGCTTTATTGCAGGTTTGTTTCTTTACACCCCCAGATTTCACTGAGGCGTGTCTAACAACGTAACTTTTGCTTACGGTGAGATAGAGGGTCCCAGGAGCTCGGGCCGTAGGTGCCTGTGCCTTCTGCAGCCTCGGCATCGCTGCCATCTGCGGAGGAGGAGAAGGGTCTCTGGAGCGCACGAGCAGCGTGGGCGCACCAGGGAGGGCAGTGCTTCTTTGCATTCAGGAGAGTCCCTTCGCCCATCTAGAAATGTTATAGCAGACACTAGTGAAAGCTGGATTTTATGGAAACTGATGGCTTTGTCTTTCCTTCCTCCTTTCATTCATTAGAAAGAGGATAATGGAATTTTTAAGCCATAGAGTTTATATTTCTGGTGGTCTGAAAGTAGATTGATAGGGAAGCTATATAAATAGCTCTTATGTCTTTCTAATATTAAGAAAATAGTGCTGTTGGGAATAGATAGATTTTTAAAGGAGAGCACACCCACTGTCGAAAGAACTGCTGTGTGTGTGAGGCATCATTTTATATCCATTGCAAGGACATGCGGGGGAACATCAGCATATACATTTATAATGCATGTAAGTGTCAAGGACATGGTTTTCGTGAAGACTTACATGGGATACTAAAAACAATTTGATGTTTATTAAACAATTAAATTCTCTTTTTGCTGCATATAGAGCTGAACAAGATGGGTTTATGACTTTTCAATAAATTTTTTATCTGTGTTTTTCTTACCGAGTATATAAAACAAAAACCCTTGCAGTGAAATGGATCTTCTTTCGCTGAACAGAGGCATGTGCTGTCTGCTAATGGCAATCTAACCAAGGAAACAGTATGCCATTGCTGTTAAGTTTGAAATGCAGTGGAAATACAGGAATCTGTTCTGAAGTAAGAGTTTTCTCTGTGTGTACTGTCAAGCAGAACTGGAAATCCATGTGTCTGAGTCCTGTAATTGTGGCCTGGAGGCAATTGGGATCTACAAACAAGGCGATACATATGTTTTTATTAGTAAAGTTCCAAATTAATTAATTAGGAAGGCATAAACCTGCCATGGTGTTGTTTGAGACTGTATGGGTTAGAAAACTTAAAATCCTTAGTGGTTGAATTGATAGCTGCATTGTTAAAGCTTGCCATAATACTTTTCTTACATATCTATTGAGTTCTCTACAATATCAAAATACAAAAATAGGCATATTTAGGAATACAAATAAGAGAGCTTCAGTCTTTGCTTTATCTTGCCTCTATTTGGTACATGGAAGGTTTATGCCATCCATTTGCTGCAGTGATTGAATTACATCTTTATCCATAAGTAGAGCAGGAGACTACACGCAGAAGAATGCCTACTGATGCACTTAAGGGTTTTGTTGCAGTCTCATCAGGCACCGTGGTGCCTGCCTGGATTTCATATGACGCAGAACCTCCTCTTGTTGAGATGTGTTGCACTGGCTTCGTTTCTGAAAGGGTATTTATCTACAGGCAGGGAGTTCGGGGTGGTGAGTGAGCAGTGAGAAAAGATTAGCTGTGCTCTGCCATCAGATGTGTATTTGAAAGCCCACGGAAGGTGAAATCTTAGCATACTTACAACAGAGAGAGCACGGGCATGAGCAGGGTTCTGGTCATCTTTTGACTGCAAAGGTTAAGACTAGAAATAATGATGGGTCTGGTGGGAGCATGACTTGGCTAGACTTGGAGACAAACCTATGCATGTTGTTGTACCCAGCTGGTTCAGCACAACTGAGCTTGCACAACCGGACTTGTGGCGGTGGTCCCGAGCCCAAGCTTGGGTTAGATGGGGCTGTTGGAGGGGCTCACAAGGGCTGTCAGCCCTCCACCTCCCATTGCACGAGTTCCCAGCTTGGGCTGGCCAGGGCAGGTTTTTGGGTTGTGGCTTTCTCCTGTTCCCCACCCCATTCCTGCACCTTCTGTGCAACTGGCTGTTAGCTTTGGTCTGATACAACAAAGAGCTATTTATTTAGATTTAAACAACAGTATAAAGCACATAGTAAAAACTGTAAGTGTCCTAACAGTTAACCACGGCCACATCGTAACGACTGCCCAGCAGCAATAAATAATCATATACAGGTAACATTAACTTTTAGGGTGTGCTGTAAAGCTGTTTTCCCCACCTCCCTCTTGGGCTTTTGAGGAGGAGTGGGCTGCAGGAGGCAAGTTGGTTATGTGGGAGTTACTATCGTCACTGTCATCTCTGGCACTTGTCACTGGGACAGTTCAGGCTGTGTTTTACGGGGTTCCTGATCCCACAGGTCAGATTGCGAGGCTGCTCGGGACCCGTGAGACAGGAGGCACTCGGCTGAGCGCAGTGGCAGCAGAGGCACCTGTGTAAAAGTCATTGGGCGAGCAGCAGCTCTGCCATACGTCTTGGGTAAAAACACGTTTTGGTTATAAACAAGGGGTTTAAAATAGCAGGAGAAATAGTCATTGGCTGCTCGGCATGCCCATGCGTTGCCGTGCCACGGGCCCAGCCTCAACGGTTGCGTACAGCAAAGCTTTGGTCCCGCTCAGGCTGCGGGGACGCAGCTCTGGTGTCACCAGTGACGCTGGCCACTGTGGGGCCGAGTGACAAAAAAAGTTCTCCTTCATGGCAATGAAAGCAAATGGTAGGCGGGCGGCCAGAGTCACCCCGCGACGTTCAAAAAGCAAAAATACATTTGAAAGTAGGAGGCATACTCCGCTCCCGGGCACGGGCCAGAGAGCATTGCAGGGCTGCTCTTGGTTTCTGCACGCTCTGTGTGTCTGGCTTTCACAGGAATGAAACAATTCCAGCTATAAATAATGGGTTAATGCTTTCATTCATTTGGGCTTTAAATGTATATTACATCTATGCTTTTGTCCCACATTTCGCCCAGTTTCTGTAAGTAGCAGCAGCAGCAGCTCTGGGGTTTGGTGCACAGCAATCTGTTAAGGAGATAAATAATCTGCTTTGGCATGACACTCCTACTCTCCTCTTTAATTTGTCTTACACAAGGAAAATTATAATTAAATCATTCAGGGTAAACCCTTGAGTGTAGAGAAGGAAAAAACACACTTTGGTAAAGATTGCCAATAGAGACCAACTTCCCTGTTGTGCCGTGCAGAGACATTTATCAATATTCAGCACTATTAAAGAGAGACCATTTCGTGTGATTTGTGAGGCGGATGCCAAAGCTCAAATCAAGGCTTGTTAAGATCCTTTCCCCATGCAATCATGGGCATTCAGCGTCATTAGAATTCAGCACTGACTGTGTGTTTCATGCTTTGATTTTACTCAGACAATTTAATAATGTTTATTGTGCTGATTATATATATAAATTCACTCAATGCAATAAACATACCTCAGTCATCAGTACCCTAAGTGAAATATTTAGTTATAGATGCTTGTATTCACTCAGGATAAGCGAAAGCGAGACCATCAACCAGCATGCAAACCTCTCATCATCTTATCAGCATTTGGGCTTCTTCAGTAACAAGCTTTTTCTCTACACAAGTAAATAAATAAATAACGGGAACCAGTTAAGTACATCTGCTGTGCTTAGAAATGTCAAGGACAGTACCTGCTTTCCATCTCATTCCACTGCATCTTACTTGGGGGAAGCTTGATTATTTTCTTAAGACGAACAGCAAAACAAAGCGGGTGGATGCCCGGTTGCTTTCAGTGACTACTAACTTTATAACCTGATGAGCAGTGGGCATCCTGAAACCTATCTGCTCGGGAATATTCCCGATGTGGGTAGGTTTGGAAAAGCAGAACGGTGCAGAATTCATCAGTGCTTTGCGGTGAGTGGAGGTCGCTCCAGTGTGGGCTTGACCCGGGAGGTCTGGGGCTGCTGTGGAGGGGTGCGGGTACCTGTGTGCTGGTCCCATCCCCTGGCACCGTTCTGCATTGACTGCAGCAGCGACAGGATGATGGGAGGCTGTACGTAAACAAGTGAGTTGATGAAGGTCCAGTCTCGTTAATTTAGAAAACGCATCTGTTTGCAAGAGGTAAGGTGAAGAGTTGGAGGTAAAGGCTGCACGTCCAAGAGACCTTTCTCCATCTCCATCCAGCAATCCCATGTTTTTCCCCTGTTGTTTTTATAGCCTTTCCAACCATGCTTGAGTCTTGTCCTTCCACATAAGCAAGCAGCCATCTCATAGGAAAAACAGATGGGATAAACAAGGGGATTTTTAAATGACTTTTTCTTGCCAGTGTCACGGGAGGAAGGAGTCTACAGAAGGCTCTGAAGGGAAGTGAGAGGAGCGGCGTGGCAGACCATTGATCTGCTAGTTAGGCTTAATGCATTGTGTTTTACTGTTGTTATCTTCCATGCCAGCTGATCCTC